TGGAAACGGCCTATAATAATAAATTTCTTCATTTTCATATTCAGAATGCTGAATGAAATTCGTGTGGTTCAAAATTCTAATTTTTTTCACTCATGGAGTCATAGAGTCACAATAATTACTAAATGTTACCTTTTGCGAATCAGAAACAGCCAATCTCAACAAAGTTCGTTCCAGGCGGTTTTTTCTACAGTATAATGTATTATACACTATCTGAATTATCAGACAAGACTTCTGTGGAAGCACACGACCGGGTAAACGGTTATTGCCACTCATCCGGATTGTGTACCTAGAACTCGTTCAAAGAATCATTCCTATACCTGAACCACGGATATGTATTGTCGACAGCGCCGTAAAATGTCCTAAAAATACCGCCCCCAGCCATACACACTCACATGCCCATTACCAATGAGATGCAAATAAGGAGATTCTGTTCAAAACGGGAAACTACCAACTACACAAACCTGATGACCGATCGTGTGCTTCCGGAGCATTATTTTTAACTTATTCGGATAATTAAATCCCAAATTTTCGGAAGTAAATAGAAAAATGGAACTACTTGAAAACGATCAACTTCAACGTGCATTTAGACAAACACGGAACGAAATATCAGAAGCAAAATTTGAGATAGGCGATCGAACTCGGTCAGAACACAAATCAAATCACCTTTGGAATTCGTACCCCACAAACTGGTAGCCAATGTGGGTGTCATATCCGGGCTGCAAATAGAGACCGGTGCTGTGCCGACGACAGTGTCCGAATTTCGTACAGACGAACCGAATCGCGTACCCGGTCGTGGTCCCAGTGCAGCAGCCTGTGCCCGAGCGGCGGCCACATTTGGATCTAACGAACGACTAACTCTTGGTGCACTGGATTTGGATCCACGTTTGTTCAACGAGGCTGGGAACAGGGACAAACTGGTATCTTCTGCCACGCCACCGTTTATGGAAGAAACACTGCATATATCTTCATCATCTAGAATCGCGAGCAAAATGGAGAAAAGTAACAATGGAAATAAACAAGTCGAAATTCTTCTGCTGTATCAATGTGTAAAATCGGAAAGCTGTGCATTAATGAATCATTTCCAGTGATATGCAAAAGCAAGCTACTACAATAATGGAAATAGTATATTTGATTGTTTCAACTGTTGAAAGATCAGTGGTCCCAGCAGGATTTGAACCTATGCAAGTGTGGCATTTGATAAAGTAATATTTTATCGTGTGTACTTTTACCTAACTGAATTATTCGCGCATTTCCGTTCATTCCACTGCACCGTAAGAGCCCGGAGTACGTTTTCATTACACAAGCACTAGGGCAAGAATACGTGTTAACAGACAGGAGTCAGCCAAGTTCGAATTAAGAAGAGGAGTATGACGGAGGTGAATATTAGCTACAGTGTCATTCAACTTTACTATCGATCGGACAATAATTTGCTTCATGGAAAGAAATCACAGAGGTCAAATTTTCCAGGTCTTTCTTGTTACTGATTAAAGATTTGCTGACAAAATTATGGTCTTTAGTGAGGATGTAGCTGATATCTAATAAATTATCGTTTACTTCATTCGATAAGACTTCGAAATCAGCCTGAAGGCAAATCGAGCCAATACCAAAAGGTTTGCAATATAATTAATCAATTCACCTCGGAGGCACGTTACAGGTCAAATGATGAGTCCAAAGATCCAACCAAGGACAAAGTCCGGTTGCGTCGTGATAGTTCCAGAAATTTTTTTCTACAGTCGAGCAGTATTCTATGCCACAGAAATAATATCAACCTGGAGAAGGTAGCACGAAATTGTTTCTCAACAGAATTTGGTCACAGTTGAAGATTCTTGAAGACTAAACACATTTTATCATTACTGTTTAAGACCCTTTTAAAAGAAACGGTCATAAACTACTTTTTCAAGACTAAATCATGGAGAGACCAACAGTGATTTGGACACGTGTTATGCGAACCTGACTGAAGACGTTTCAGCACCGTCAGCCTACTGAAACTATAACATTCGTAGACAGGTGAAAACTTAGTTGGACGCCATACACAAATAATATGAACACCTCTGTCCTCTATCCGCGTACTAAATTCGATGCCGGGAGACAGACTGGATTACACTCTGTGTAGCGTTTACTGCCGACTGCCAACCGCGTGCAGTCGCAATTAGGGACGATCGTGAAGCCGGTTTACTCAAAGGCAAGGTAAATTAGTTTTGAGCATCAATCATCCGTCTATTTCACCANACAAGTTGGAACAGCTGTTCATGAAATAACAGAACTACCGTAGCATCGATAGATTTTATATATATCATATGAATGCTTGAATGAGCAAACTCCCGATAGCTGATTGTTGGTGAGGGTAATCTCGTGAAATGACACCTAACAAATGTTTAAGCACACTCTGTCAGAGTGTGCTTTGTCACATTCCCATCAAAGGCTAGCTACCCGTAACCTTCATGGAAGGCTTGATTTGGTGGAAGGGTTTTGACTGGAGTTAACATACAGTGAGCTGTACCAGCTTTCGTTGCAGTCGGGCCAAATGAACTGACTGACTGTCAATGAAGACGACACCTGAACAAACATGAATTGACAATTCGGTTCAGTCCAGGCATGAGCCGGTCGGCACAGTGGTAATGCACACACGCCTTTCTTGCAATGGGTTTGGAGCTCAAAGCCCGGATAGAACTGTGGACATTCACTTACTGATGAGCTCTAATAAAGGTGAAACTCCAGTCTAGTGCTTCCGAGTTTATGGTGGAATGGAAGATCTGAGGATTGTACATGAAGATGAAGTCTGTCGGATGGTCCGTTCAAATCGATATCAATTACCCCACACCACTACTCACAAATGACTGTGAGTTGAATGTGAAATCTATCAAACATTGCCATCTCACAAACTTTATCCTCAAGCATAATCGTCAGGTCATCTTGTAAACCATATACTCGGGATGTACTAGACTCGAGTTCCTACCCCCCCCCCCNCCTCATGTTTCAGCTCATTCGTATAGTGCAATTTCACCGTCTCCGTCTGGAATTTTAAATTCATATCGATCCCACTAAAGGTTATATGTTATCACCGCGTCAACCAGTTCACATCTGGGATAGTTATAAGGATCAATTCAAGTTTACTCGGGAGTTAAAAGGTCATCAGCCAATTTATTCCAATGTAGTGTGAAGCGACTGACGATTTGTTAAAATGAGTATCACACCAAATCAGGTTTAGGATGAGTGGCCTCTCAATAAATTAGACTAGCATAAATCTATATTTACAACAAACTAACTATCCCCATTCCTTTTCAACTTTGTCTTAGAGAATGTTCTGCAGAATGCTTTGTCCGGTTTAGCAAACAGCAGAGTCGAACTCCTCCCAGAGAACGGAGTCATTTACTTAGAATATGCCGATGACATCACCTTGCTGGGTGACGAGACACAGGCAGTTCAAAACGCTTTGAAGTGTTTAGCGATCGAGGTATCCAGATATAGTGTGTGCTGCGCACATTCCAAGTGCAAAGTGCTTGTTCCAGACTGGCAGGAGCCTGTGCCTGCACTCCTCCTTTGTGGTGATCAGTCGGAAGTGGTTGAGAGCTTTAAGTACCTCGGGAGCTTGATCGAAGCTGGTGGGGGTATTGAGGAGGAGATGAATAGCGAAAGCTAGAGCAGCTTTCACCAAACTGCGACACCTGTGGCGCCCCCATGACATCCGACTGTTCCTTTAGGGGAAGGGTGTAGATCACCGCAGTTCGTAGAGTTTTGCTTCACGGTTGCGAGACCTGGCCTTCCAGCGTTGAGGATGCTAATCAACTTTCTGTCTACAGTGATTCCCCGCCGGGTCCTTATCTCGCTAGAACCCCTGTAAATCGACAGCAGGTTTCTTCTGAATTTATCAGCAAACTTGGAGGTTCAATGTTTCACTTGTATTATGTCCTTCTTTTAATGAAATGTGTAATGTTTGACTAAAATGCGGACATCTGTTCACGCAAAAATGTCTGTACAAATACAAACAAACCAGCTGTCCATAAAATCACCTTTTGGACAAGAAAAATTGACCTGAAGGTCCATATTCCTTGTGCTCCTTGGTTGGATCTCGGGATCGTACTTCCGCGGGGCGTTTCCAATTGGCCTCGAATTGCGCTGAGTATCGCAAAAGTGGGTCTGGCTATTGTCCTATTGGTTGCTCATTCGATTTCAGATCTTCGTTTGTCCGGTCGTTACTATCGTCCGTGGGCTACAACACAACTACTCATGACTAACGGTGGGGACTAAGTGATATTGGTTTTACTGACTATCTCCTACAAACCCCTGTGTGTTGCTGTCGGGCCAAAAAGGGAAATGGCTGACAATATTTAAACAGGCTTGAATTATTGACCTCGGTCTGTTTCAGTTTGTACAACCATTACCCATGCACTTTCTAGCACCGGTTTTGATGGCCCATTTAGATGAGGGAACAGGAGAAACATGAGCGATTTGAAAGCAGAGTCAGCCCAAATACGAGCTGGATGACACAGTGGTAGTACACACATACAGACGCATCTTCTGTAAGATGGGTTCAAAGTTCAAAGCCCGGACGGGAACAGTAGATATGCACTACCGGTTAAGCTCTGATGAAAGCGAAATTCGGGTCTAGTGGTTCCCGGGTGCATGGCTGGCTGCCTGGATGAATCGACTATTGTGAATAAAGATTACATCTGCCCCATAGTTAGTCAAATAATTAGCACTTATGCCAATTAACAGGTAGCTGTGAGTCAAATGTGGAATGCACATGATTTATTTTGTTCACATCAAAGTGCAAATTTTGGCTTAATTT